AACACAGCTACAACAGGAATTTATTCCTGACAAGATAATTTTGTTCAACCGCATTTTCAGAAAAGCGATCAATCTTCTCGACCTCAACAAAATAATAGTTTTCCTGAATTCCTCTGTGTATTTTGGTCAAACGCATGCCCTTTCTTTAAAGAGAGGAAGATAAAAGATACTTCGAATAGCATACCTCGTCCGGCTTTATGTGGACCAAACTCCATGGTTCAGCCAGCTCTTCAATATTGATGAGGATATCAACAGGATTACAGAAGTCAATAAAGACTGCATACAAACAACCAAGCATCTCCCAACCTTTGGTTTTGTTTTCTTTGATCACTCTCTACAAACGTAACAAAAATATTCAATCATATGATGAGATAACTATCCAGCATTAGATCGGGTCGGGCCGGAGGATAGATTATTCTATCCCTATAAAATACCAAAATTGGCCCTGAGAACATTACCAACAGTAGTTCGAGTCTTGTAGATTGAATAGACTGGTCTGGAGGACCAGCCAGTCAACTGCTCATGAATCGCTTTTCCTTGAGATGCTGATGACCAATCTCTTGGCAATCACCACGCAAGACCGAGATGAAAACAAAGACACAAAAAACATACAAGCAAATTAAATGAAAATGATTCACACACTTGTTCAGAAGCCTATATATATATGTATGTCATGTACAGCAATATGCAGAAATTATGACTTTTTGACTCATATTTCAAGTATATCTAAAATATATCAGAAATTATGGGATATCATCGCCAATATTTTTTTGAAGTTGCCTAGCACTAGTGCTTTCTGAAAAAAATATTGGCGATGATACCCCATAATTTGTGATATATTTTAGATATACTTGAAATATGAGTCAAAAAGTCATAATTTCTGCATATTGCTGTATATAGGTGAATCAATCTGTTGATATCGTAACGAACCGTCATGGACTGTTTCAACCAGAGATAAATCAGTCATATTGATACAGCAGGAATTATTGGGACAGGAAATGGCATAACTTACATCAAGATAATACTYGCTTTCATCCAGTAAGTAAAGCGTCATCTCAAGACGATCACTCATCATTTTTTGCATTGAAAAGAGAGCAAACTGCATTCTCTTCTTGGCTGATGAGATGGGTTTASCAACAACTGCATACGTTAGCARMGTTTTTGTATAATATTTGATGTTGTTCCATTCAATATTGATATCAWCGATTTCCTTCCACTTGGCTTTGTGTTTTTCTCTTTCATCGATGCACAGTACTTTGATATCCCAGTTCTTGGTTGCAGAATCGATTAACGCACTGTGCGGGAGACAAATTTCAACAGGTTTCTCAAACTCAGTTCCTTGAGAATAAAACTTGAATATAGGACTAATAAACACGTAATCTGGATCAAGATTTGAGTACATAGGACCATCATGTAGTATTTCCACAACTAAGTTTCTAGCTCCATCTGTTGTAGAGSYTTTATCGTGACGAATATAAACACTRCTTTTGAATATATACAGACCGCTAGTTRCGTCATACTTGGCAAAGTCATCCAGTTCATCTGATTGGTGATTTTCATCAGAGTTCTTAGTTTTTGAAATAATATTTGGTAAGCAACCAGAATAACGTGTTATTTTTTTCCTTKTTTCCCCCTTTTCTATGTCATTGCTCCTTACTAATAAATCCRTTGCAGTGTCCTTCTTCATCTTCTTTCTCCTTAAACACATACAACTGATAACAAAAATACACAGTATGACCATTGACATTATTGAAATGATGCCTGTTATTAACAAATCATCTGTCCTAGAGTGTTTTGGAATGGTTTGTGATGTTGTTTGCGGTTTAATACTGGTCAAAACGGAGCTGTCTKTAATTRGATGYGATCCCGAGGACAATTGATTCGAATTTGACGTGAGGTTTCTATCGCTGTAATGGCAGAATTTAGAGCTCTCAAAACTACAGTGTCTGTCAGATCCCTTTTTCATACATTCTTCTATTTTCACATCTTTGCCATCATTACAACAACGCCAACATGGCAAACAAGACCTACTCTCGTTGCTGAAGTAATGCCCTTCTTTGCACGGAATCGCAAAACAAATGGTGTCTGATTCACTTGTACAGTTTCTAACCACGTGCTCGCTGGATTTACACTTTCTTGTACAGGGTTTACAATATTCAGTTGAAAAGCTATCCGAATACGTTCCTTTAGGACACGGCTTGCACTTGATCTTACCAATGCGTTCCTTCGACACAACACTTCCACATGGAACTGACAATTCATAGCCATGATGGCATCTTGGACAAGCGAGACAAGCACTAGTGACACCAGAGTTCACCTCAAATTGGTCGTTACCACACGTTTTAGTATGTTTGATATTTGCWTTGACATTCTAAAATATTAAAAAATAAATATTAAAATTGTGAGAGTATTCAGCTTTTTAAGATGAACTCATAAGGACGAGAAAAACTGATAATAAACTAACCTGAGTCATCAAGATACAGCGGATCAAATATATCAAAATCAATATATATATTTCCATCTGAAAACGTTAAAAATACCATTAATGCAAATGAAGATAAGCGGGCCTTTGAGTGCAAAGATAAGTCAGAATTCATTCTAATGAATTTTTAAAAGGTTGAAGGATATCATATAAGCCGGGTAGCGTAAAAGCTCATTTGCTTTGGATAGAAAAACTAGACGCCCCTGGGGCGTGAAGTCGGACTAGCTATTTTTGAAAAATTGATAGACACGAGTGAAAAGATTATGATGTTATATTCTGTTTAATCATATGATTATATTATGAATGCAAAAGAAACTTGGGAAAAACAGGAGGATATTACATAAAATATAAAAATTAGATTAAAATATATATTTCTTAATTTTTCTCCAAAATAGCCGAACTCACGGCCTAATAAGAGCGTCTAGTTCAAAATATCCAAACTCTCTTGAGACGTCTCTTGAGACTAAAATAAACTTGACCTAAAAGGTCATGTAATTAATATAACAATGAACGTTTTAAAAGAGTCCTTGCTTTCACTGATAAAATCAAACGTGCTATGTAGACAACTAGACAAGCCTTGTCTGAGTGACGCTAAGTGATAACGTTGACCTCTCAGGCCAAGAAAATACTTTACAAAGTAAATGATACCTATAAAATCATTAAACTCGCCTTTTTTATTGATAAAAAATGTTTCTTCTTGTTCTAATTTGAAATCTTTGCCCACACAACACTGCCTAACGCTAAAAAGGCCATTGATTTAGTTTCGAAAGCATACTACTCGAAGCACCAAGCGATCTGCACATGCGCGAACTTATGATACCTAGACTGATGCATTCCGATGAGATCACAGATACCACATTTGTAAACGAATAGTTTTTTGGTCATATAAAAGCGCGAGTAGCATATAGCATTTACTAACGATATTCGTACATCAATACCTTTGAGCTTCCGGTCGTGTAATAACACAGCCAACCCAATAGTTAATTATTAAATTCTTAACTTCCGGTGGTCCAAACGCGACATGACACATAGATAGATAGATAGATAGATTGGCTAAAAGGTAAATTTAAAGTCGGACCGCCTTCGGCTAGTCCGACTAAAAATGCAACAGATTATATATGTTACACGCATCAAGAAAAATTACGTCATGTGAATGAAGGCCTGATGCGTATGACTTTGTGTCAGCCAGTGTACTTTAATGACGGGACGAAAATGTGCCCAGCGTGACATCGTCTCTAACACCCTGTTTACGTGATTATGAAACAAAAACAAAAGTGTTAGGGGTACCCTTCTTAGTCATGTAAAAAGGTCCTTACTCGGGCGATATTTTCTAATCTACAATTAAATCATAGACAAAACTCATGGGGCAAAATGCATGTCTACTAAAACTTACTGACAATTTCCCCCCGTGACCACCCATTTACAATGTTGGCCTCAAGCAAACCCTCATTCCAAACCGAAACATTCCCGCCAACAACATTGTCAACCAACATTGACTGTGGGGATAGGGGGAGGGTTTGTGCGAGGATTAAAACAGTCTTGGATTGTAGTATTGGCTTGGTCTCCAATTTGATGCGCATGAGAGACCGGTCAGTTCGGTCTTACAGTCAAAAGACATGATGGTCGCCCCCGATTAGTTCGTTATTCAATGCATTATTGGATTTTTCATTTTATTTTTCGTTTTCAAACTTCAGTTGATTAATGCAAAATTAAATTCAAATCTCGAACTCTCATAATGACAGAAAACAACACAGCATTTCCTGCTTTTTGAGACCGTCATTCCTTTCTCACGAGAAGGAACAGATCCAACCAAATTAACAGACAGCATATTGCAATGCATCGACTTGTGGAAATTACAAAAGACCAGCATGTTTACAAGCGAAATACGAAGAAGGCTTATGGAAACCCGATCAATAATCCAATCAAATTGGAAAAGTTTGAAATCAAAAGTATTAATTCAAATTTGATTTCAATAATGTAATGCTGAGTCGACCAAGAATCGAATAATGAATTGAATAATGGTGTTTTGAGGGGGCGCGCTTCATGTATTTTGACTGTAATGGTTTACTATGTTAGAAGTAAACGGTTGTACAAAGGGTGGACGAAGTTATCCTCKGCATCATAGATTTTGCAATGATTTTATCCGCTGGATACTTCAACAACTAAGGACATCACAGCAGAATAGCCCGAGTGCAATCTTTTTACTGCACGAAGGCTATTGGTGAATAGCGCGATTCAGCTTTCGTATACGGCCGACACCTGCTCCTTATAATAAGAAGCGCGTATCCATCAAAACTTGAAATGCAAATATACTAAAAAGTCACCTTTCTCAGTGGCCATGATAACATACCCTGGATAAAAGATTTWCCTGACATTAACTGAAAATTGCGAATTAACCTTAGCGAAAAACAAAACGAGAATTTGCCACATATTTCTTCTAAAAGCACAACAAGGAAATGCTCAAAAACCATTAGTAAGAATGATAATTTTTAAATTAAAGTACGCTACATCTTCAGTTGCAGCCTTCGTTCAAYGCACACTAATTCAGGAAGGTTTTTTGATGAAACAGCCCGAATAAATGCTCTACGATCGTCCAGTGATCTGCAGAATAATCACTTTCCTACAACAAAAAATGTTCAACTTACCTTTTTTCATGGCGTATATATGTTCTGTCCTTAAGTTTCCTTTATTGCATGATYAGGTCAAGGAAAAATTCCCAAGTGAAGCGCTTCATTGATTGGCTAGATAGAATGAAGCGGAACGGTAAACACATTCTATTGAAATCACTCATCGCGGAATGAAGGGGAGTCCCCGAATGCCAAGGTGACCGATCAAGGGACCGCGAAACATTCAAATATAATATAACTGTACATTAAAAAACATCAAAAAGAGGTTGAATTAGGAAGAAAAACTCATAATGGAAACATTTTTGAGTAGAAAACGTCCAAGATAACTCGTCAATTTTACCGAATTGAAAATGTGCTGAGCGGCAGATTTATATGCTTTCCTGCACTTCATGTTGAGACACTCRTGATTGGCTCATTTTTMAAAATTAGTGACGTCGTCTCGMAAAAATGTGTATTTTGGCCAATGAAATTTGAAATGATGTTATCCTACAATTATCGGCCAATCACGAGCATTATGGAGTAAAAAGTGCTTTTCGACAAATTAAGTGCTTTTATGCAGTTCTTACCACTGGTTTGTCTTAAATTGGAGGATTTTAGAAGGTTTAATACGATTTTTTAATGTGCTCTGTATGAGGTGTTTCAATTTCAACTTTTCTTTTCTTCAATCAAACTTTTTCGTTGTTTTGCAATGAAAATCCTGTGAAACAGTTAGCTCTCAGGAAAAATTCGTATTGTTAGGGGATTCCCCTTCAATCTGTGTGCCGCAGTATGTAAATTTTCACTGTTACGTATGATTCTAAGGGACTGCGCATATTTATCAGGAGGGGGATGTTCAGAAATGAGCCCAAAAAAGTTAACTGCTACTCCCTCTCGCAATCGAAATAAATTACGCTCTATTCTTGAATAAAGAGTTGTCAGAAATCGTAATAGTAAAAGGTATTCGGCCAAAAATCACGGAATCTAAAACCGTTGATTTTTCAGTTTCCAATTAAAGTTCTAGTTAATTTTAGACGTTTCCCCCGTCTTTAAATTAGATTTTGCCCCCCCCCTGATAAATATTGCGCAGTCCCTACACTAGCCAAACTAGGCAATCTTGGGATTATTTACCAGTTGATTTAGTGTACTTCATTGTACCACTTAGTTTACTTTGTAGTTTCTTTTTGTTCCGTCTTAAATTATGCTTGTATTTTTTTGATTTTTACTTTACTCATACAAGGGATAATGTACTGTCATCATCTAACACCTACAAATTAAAACGGTAAGTCCAAGATTGAATTGTTCCCTTCGTAAAAATAGCGAAAATTGTTAGGGTGGTAAGAAAGGTATAAAACTTTCAGGACCTGAAACAATTCGGAAATCAAGCTTATAAGAGTTCGTATTATAGCGTAAACGTAAAAAGGTCAAAATSAAATTATCATTTTAGCAAAAGGATGAGATTCATATCCATACCGCYAAATGCATCMGAATGAGTGAAATTCCGGAATCTGCTGCCTACGATTCAAATAACACCCATTCAAATAACACTTTGTAWTTCCTATATTTTGTGTTTAGGCGAAAAAGGGGTTTTCAGTCGGCGGCTCGGTTCCGAGCTCGGCCATTTCGATAAGCCAAGAAGAGAGTGGGTTTTCGTTGCCCAGCCACAGACTATCCACAACTTTGATACAAAATAGATCAAGTACATCCGAAATCAGTAAGTAAAACTTGAGGGGGACATAGGGATTGTTGGAATACGTAGATCCKCCGCGACGAAATCCGTTCAAAAAGGCAAGATAAATCGCTTTAATATGGATCATTTCCTCAAATCCTTACTTTTTCTACTTTTTTGTGGCTATATTCCTYGTAGAGGCTCTAGTCACTATGCTAACCGCCGTTAAGTATGTACGAAATCATTTTTTCCGATCGCTTGTCGTTTTTCGGATATCTTCGTATTATTATACGGGCTTCCTGTGGTATGACGTCATAGTCAGTTCCTTCTATCCCTTGACAGGGCTTACTGTGTAATGATGTCATAGTCTATTAAGTCTATTATATTGCAACAGTAAATATCATGGCAATAAAAAGTACTTCCACACCAAGGAATATTTCCTAAAACTTGGGAATATTGTGTCTTATGTTTTTAATCTTATGAGGAAGTAGCTGATCCCATTATTTTTTTATAAATGTTTCCTAAAATTTCCATATAATATAAATGGAGCAACTGAAAAATTGAGATTTCGGGAAAACGGTGCAATTGAATAGCATTTAAATCAGTCATTATCTGCA